CACACCCCACCCCCACACACCCCACCCTTCCCACTTGATTTCTCTTGAAAATATTTTAAGGATAGGAGGTTTCCCTGTGTATCCTCTAAAAAATGTTATTACTCTCGATGTGATTTGAGCTGAGGGACAATATTTCCGTAAACAAATATGAATTATAAACAATATTAAAGTATAACACAGAGATCATTTGGTCGTTTCGTTAAAGACATCAGCAGTCTGCTTCTTCCCTGATATCTTCCCTGATAATATAAAGCCAGTCGGTAGCATTCACTACTCTAACACTACATTATATCAATTTTAATTTTAATTTCAATTTCGCAACTAACTAGCGTGTAAAATGCAAATACAGAAAGGTCAAACTAATTGTCGATTTCATAGAAAGGACATCACCATAAGGATACATGTATATAGTTACAGGATGACCTAAAGATGGCCAAACGTACTAGCAACATTCCAGTTCGTTTGTTCACTTAGATATGATATTACATAAGTTTCCATTTCATATGACAACACAAAACAAGTCTAAGATATCTATTTCCATTTTAGGGAGCTTCTGGCGAGGTAAAATGAAACAAAATGTGACTTAAGTTTCATAAATCCATATAAAATAGAAACAAATATAAGATCTTTTTGTCACAGGATACTGCAATACTGGAATAAAAATGCGTTCCATATCTTTCTTGAAGTATAGAATTCCACCAACAAGGTTATTACTCTACTGTCTACATTATGATGTCATAAATGATCTTAAGTCTGTGACGTCATTTTATTATCATTTAATGACGTCAAAAGAGTGGGTTCACATGATTTTCCACTGATTAACATGCGATTAACAAGAAAAATATATAAAAATATTTCCAATAAATAATTCTTGCATAACAAAATTCAAAAAAGGGGGACAACTCCTTTGTTAAATATCACATGACAATATGAAATTTTATATATATAACGTAGACGTTTTTAGCTTAACATACTATTGACACGAACATGAATCGATAGATAGTTCAAGGCTAGTTACGATATTTCTCAGGTAGTATTTTTGACCAGCAGTTCCGGTTGCAGGAAGTGAAATTGTTTTACCTGTCACTATATATATATAGTCGAATGATCTACAAACGACTATTTGTCAGACGAGTGTATTCAATGAGTTTCATATTTACTTTTTTATTTATCTTTTTGTAATATATTAAGAATTTCATATTTACTAGATGTTAACCTCATCAAAAGTTGTTAGCATCTCGGCCCTGAGGTACAGTCATTTTCAGCAAATTGGAAAAAATCAGTCAATGTTAAACTAACATATATACAGACTATTATTGATATATTAACAGAAATTTTAGTCGATGTTTGATTACATTATTTAAAACAAAATATTTTATTTGGTCAATAATTGTAAGTACGTCCAATGAGTAAGGCACATAGTACTATTAGTGATGATATTAGGAACATTTTGTATTCCTGTAAAAATATATATATTCCCATAGTTCCGAACATCAGTGACAATTTCAAGTTACAAAATGTATATGCATCATTGGTAAGCACGACAGGTATTGACAACACCAGGAAAAACAGTGACATTGATTTACAGGTTTGCAGGTGAAATAATATAAATAACAATTTTTCTAAAGATCTACAAAGATTAGACATCAAGTGGGATTTCACGATCCATGCTATTATTTACATAAACAAATTTTGTTAACGTTATTATTTTGTGTAAAATTAGGTTTAAAGAGCCTTATTCTTACGTGCTTGAATTAATGACAGAAGGAATTCACATAGGAAACCATAAAAAGGTTTAAATCGTATATTTAAATATATCTGAATAATCAATAAATTCTGAATATAAATACTCATAGTATACTTGAATTGTATTACCTTCTCCCTTCTCAAATGTTTGTCAGACATAAAAATATATTGAAATGTACCGGGAAAGTAATTTACAGTACATATATTATCAAATCATTTATAATGATAAACAAATCTAACCAGTAAAGAAAAAATAATTAAAATAGTTAACTCATTCACCCCTGAGGACACATTTGAACCCTTCCAATTCAAAGGTTGGAATAGTTCATTATGAAATTTCAGGGATGAATGAGTTAAAATACATCAAAATGTCATCAAGCAATTACATTGTAATTAAAGCTTGATTTATCTTTTTCAAAATTGTGTCTATCCCAGGAAATGTCACACATGTGAATTTCCCAAATATAAAACTCCTTCATTTGAATGCATGATAAAACAGCATTTTTTTCGTCATTAAATTACAAACTCAATTTTAATAAAAAAAAAATATTTGGTAAAAATTTCTCTCACATAACAAAAAGTCATTATTACAAGGTATGACACTAACAATCGTAAAGGTTGCCAGCAGGATTAAGTTGATAGAAAGCATTGAGCCATCCTCAAAATTCCAGGGATTGCATACACTCTTACGTTCTTTTGACCCCTGGAATATGTCATGACAAAATCAAAGGCTCACAGAAAGTTATCAGATTGGTTTCTGGTATGAAAAACAGACCAATTGCAAGGCTGATGTGTAGCCTTTGAAGGTTACAGAAGAGTAACACCCGACCCGACTTTAATGATGGTCAATCTCACAGTTCAGTTCCTGTGTGATTCTTTTGATGTACATCCATATATATGTATATCAAAGGATTTACTAATCTACTTGTGTCATTTTCAAAACGGTGCGTACAGAGCCTCCAATTTCATCATGAAATATTCCAGGGGTGCAGTAGTAGAGTGTGACTTCTGGAATTTTGAGGATGGCATTGAGCAAAATCCCTGGCAAGTTTTTAAGTATAGACACAAAATTCTGCATTTTCTTTACAATTTTTGGTCTTATATTAGGTAAAAAAAATTGAACAGTCCAACGGATTGCCTTTCTCAAGACATCCATAGCATGGTCAGGTGACACAGTGAATAACACACTCGCCTCTCACTAAGACGACGGGGGTTCTATTCCCCGATCGGACGTGAAAGGTATGGGGCCATCAGCCCGACCACGTGGGTTTTCTCCGGGTACTCCCACATTAAGACCCTCTACGTGCTAACATCCGGGCCAAAAAGAGTGATTGATAATAAGTTGAAATAACTTGTCTCATAATTGTTGTAAAATAAATAAAGTTTCTATTTTATTTTAAGACATCCATGTGCAGCCCAGACAGATTCATGAACGCCTAATACCTGGCTACCATTACAGTCCAACCCTGTTTTCCATCTTGCTTACTGTTCTGATGTGAGACAATGTTCTGCTGATATTTTAATGGCACATCTATAAGTTTGTTATATTAGTATCCCTTACTTTAAACAATTTTATCACACACCTGAGCTCTCCATTGACCTACATGTATGTTTACTCGTGGTCTAAACACTATACCTTGCCTCATTGCCGTTTCATTTTCATTAAACCTGCTCGGGTATCCTTACCTTTAAGACGGAAAAAAACCTTACATTATACATGTACTACCCACAACAAAAGAAAAAATAGGCAAAGAAAATGTAGGCCAACTGTGTCATAGTCAGAAGTCAAGTTAGCTGTTGCATCAACTCATTCAACCCTGAAGACACATTTAAACTCCTCCAATCCAAACCCTTTACCTATCTGGGTCAATTTTAATGTTGTACATACTTGTATAACTACTTTCCGTGATTGGGCCAAATTTATCATTACAACAGAAACTAGTTTACAACATAATTATAGTAATTACATGTGAAGGAAAAAATTTGCACTGGACAAATTAGGAATTACGTACCAGCGAAGGACAAACATTTTAACTGGGCTTAAGTTTCTCCAAATACTGGAGACACTGTCAGTTGAATGACCAGGATTTCAAAAAATGTTTTTTAAAACATTTCTACTGACAACATTAATATTACCGCGGAATTTGATTAGATCTAAGTCCGTGATATTACTATACATACCCCATAATGTCTTGTTGATAAAGTCTCCGATCAGGTAGAGAAACGGAAAGAAGACCATGAACGCGCCGATCCAGATCACGCGATAATAAGCAGGCATGACTTTGAGGAATGGGTAAACCCAGAAATCGGTCACATAGGCTATCCAAAGGATCCTAATAATTATAAATAGATAAATACAGTACAGTTAAACTTGTTTGTGTTGAACATGTTTAAAATTACATTAATGTTTGAACTTATATTAATGTGCATTATTAGCAAGGATGACAATTTCAACAAGAACTATAATATAATATACTGTAAAATAAAAAGTAAGATATTAGATAAGTTCAATGAATTTTAATTTGATAATAGTTTCAAACATCAGCAAAGTTCAAAACTATCAACAGTTAATTAAAGTTCATTATATTGATCTCAAATCTTTTTCATTTTTTATTATAGAATCTAATCAAAGTACTGAAAGTACTGAAAGCTAAGGCAAAAGATATATATATATATATTATTTTTGGAATGGACAACAAAAAATATTGGNTCATTTTAATGAATTTTAATTAACTGACAATAGTTTCAAACATAAGTAAATTAATTACACACATATGGAATTTGTTTATGTTTGAAACGATTATCATTTAATTAAAATTCATGAAACTGCTCTAAAATCTGAATATTTAGTTTTACTACAGGAAACATATCACAATTACACATTGATTTACTGACTGTATTTATTCTGATTATAATTTAACAATTAACGGAATACATCTTGAGTCATTCAAGTGCTCCTACACTTTACAACTAGGTAGAGTCAACCCTTGAATTTTGCTGGCGATGAAAAAGGTGGCAAATGAACGAGGGCCATTATATCGAAGTTTTACTGTAATCTAATTCTCAGTGTTAATAAACATCAACAGATAATCCATACGAGAGAATTTAAATCAAATACGACAGTTTTTAGATTCTGTTTCTCTCTTCATGGCATATGTTGATTACCACCGGTATATCTTTGCGCTATCCCTATGCTATCTCTAATGCACTGTGGAGAAATAGCACAGGTATATACATACGATGCTGTGAACAAGGTTAATGAATATAAAAGTATTTCATTGTATCCTGTATATTTCTAAAATACTTACCAAATCAGATAGGCTAAGGCAAATATGACCACAATTGCAAGTCCTGTACGTTTCCGTGGAAACTGATGATACACAATAGCTAACTCCACAATCAGCAGGGGAAGAACAAATGTATGCTGAAATTTTTTTACCAAGTTGTAGTTTTTAGGCTATATATATCATTTTGAAGCATAGAAATTAAAAAGATGTCCTCAATTATTTCAGGAACTTATACATATATCATAGTATGCATAGGTTAAAAGGGAAAACCACCAGCAAACAAATGAAACAATTAACTTGATAGCAAAACACTGCCTTATTTATAAATATATGACGGACCTAAAAGTAACAAAACCTAGAAATTTGAAATCAATGTATGACTAATATATCTTGAGGTATATTGTAGTTTAACTACCTTTTCAACCTTTAGCAATATTATTTATAAATGAAGGGAGGTAATCTGTGTTATTTTGAGAATAATGCAATGCCAAATATAAGGGTATAATGGATATTTTGCATATCTGGTTCAACTGTTTGAACCAGCTGAAAACCTGAATAGAAAATGACAGACTCAGCTCTGAACTTAGGCTGACCTCAGTAATATTCAGCACATATATATATCGAAGGGTCCAGACGTGCCTGGCCGAAACTGAAATGCCGACTTTATCACCAGTTTGCAGAAGTTAAACAAGGTCTATACATAAGTAAATTTTAGGAAACTATTTCATTTAGTGGACACATGAAAGAAGAACATATATCATTCTTGACATTTTGTTATTTATTTGTCTCAAAACGCCAAAACCTCTGCAGTTTTAGATCTGCAAACATTTCGGTCCAAGTGCATTCTTTTGTTGTGGAATATTTCTCCAACACTTGAACCATTTCAACTGAGATTTACTCTTAGCCTAAAGCACAATAAACAAAGGGAGGTAACCAGTGTTTCTATGTTGAGCATGACTGACACTTACCAAGGCATGGTTGATCCAGACTGGTATAAGGCCATCCAGACTTTTAGGGGAGATAAGTTCTCTATCCACTGCATAGATACCCCAAAAGGTACAAACTACAAACTAAAATTACAGCAAAAATAAACAATATTTATAACATTAAATATAAGGTACCTGCTAAAAAAGACCCTCCCCCCCAAAAAAAATTAAAAAATATGTGTTTCAGGTATCCCCACCTAACCTAGGTTTTCCTGCCAACCTTATAAATTTGTATCGCCTACTTGTATCTAAGATTATTTTATTAGCCAGGCAAAGTTCACAGTCACTCATTAAAATGGACTGTTTTCCTGTTCTGGGTGTCTGACCCTATTTTTGACAAATTGATAGCCATTGAAATGTGTGGAAATGCATTGTAAAATTAGATATAAAGCATAACAATTATCCATGAAAATAAAATAAAAAATTAAGATATATGCCTACCCACCCACTGTACTTTTTAGGACATGTTTCCTGAAACACGCGTATTATCATTATTTTTAGCCTAATTATAGAATACAAAATAGATCTCTGATAGAACAAATCAAATCGAGATGTGATTTGGGAATGGAATATAAAAAATGAGAAAATTTAAGTGAAAAGGGATGAACACATCTCGCCACATTACAAACTTTGAAGTTTTTATTGTTTCGGAACCATTATCAAGAACTTATAAAATGAGAAAAATAGGAAAAAGGAGGAAATCCTCTAAAAAGAGACAAATTGCATTCCTCAGAATATAGAATCAATCTCACAAGAAAAATAAAGAACACATCCAGCAACATCATAGACCCTCTGATAAAACATAGAAACCTAGACCGAGTGAACAAGAATAAAATAAAGAATCCCTTACCGTTCCTGCAGGAAATACAACTGATGCGAGGAGGATATCACGAAGTTTTTGTAGGACAGACTTTCTCCCCTGGATATCCTTTGAATGAGACGGCCGAACATCACTGCCACAGAAATCGTTCAGGGTGGCAATACCAAAGTAGAGTGTCTGAAGAATCTGGAAAAAAGTAATTTGAAACGATTAATACCATGTTGGTACTTATACACAGCCTGTTAGAGAATTATTGTTAATATCTATTTTCTACAATAGTTAGATCTTGGCTGAAGTTTCTGCTTCTGGATTTGTTCTTTTATATAGTCCACCCTTAAGAAGACCAAAATGTGTTCTCTTTATACATCATAAATGGGAAACATTTAAAGTGATCTCTAAACACAAGTGGTCTCTTTAAGTAGGTGGTCTCTTAACACAGGTGGTCTCTTAACACAAGTGGTCTCTTAACACATGTAGTCTCTAAACACAGGTGGTCTCTTTAAGTAGGTGGTTTCTTAACACAGGTGATCTCTTAACACTGGTGGTCTCTAAACACAGGTGGTCTCTAAACACAGGTGGTCTCTTTAAGTAGGTGGTTTCTTAACACAGGTGATCTCTTAACACTGGTAGTCTCTAAACACAGGTGGTCTCTTTAAGTTGGTGGTCTCTAAACACAAGTGGTCTCTTTAAGTAGGTGGTCTGTAAACACAGATGATCTCTTAACACAGGTGGTCTCTTAACACAGGTGATCTCTAAACACAGGTGATCTCTTAACACATCTGGTCTGTAAACACATGTGGTCTCTTAAGACAGGTTGTCTCTAAACACAAGTGGTCTCTTAACACAAGTGGTCTCTTTAACAAAAAAAATGGTAAACACAGATGATCTCTTGACATAGGTGGTCTCTTAACACAGGTGGTCTCTAAACACATGTAGTCTCTAAACACAGGTGGTCTCTAAACACAGGTGGTCTCTTAACACAGTTTGTCTCTTAACACAGGTGGTCTCTAAACACAAGTGGTCTCTTTAAGTAGGTGGTTTCTAAATACATGTAGTCTCTTAACACAGGTGGTCTCTAAACACAGTTTGTCTCTTAACACAGGTAGTCTCTAAACCGATTGGTCTCTTAACACAGGTGGTCTCTTAATTAATGAAGGTGGTCTCAGGAGTAGGTTCGACTGTATGTAAATTACAATATTGGTATGACATCATTGTACATCCTTGATACTCCAGGGGTTAATATAAGATCACTTATGCTCTCAAAAGGATCTTGTGGTACTGTAATGAAAGCTTTTATTAATCTACCTAATTCCTCTATAAACTCTATACATGAATATTGTGAATCACCTTCATGAAGTTTGTATGTAAAATATATTTACAAACACTTAATTCATGATTTTGACAGCTTTATATGTAAAATATATTCTCAAACACTTAATTCTTGATTTTTGAGGATGCTGTTATATTATCTATTATATGATGGGACTACACATAAGGGGAGGTAACTCTCCTAGCCTTGTGACTGCACTGATGAAAGTGTCATTTTGACTAATAAAAAACACACCAGAACCTTTTTAACCTTAAGTATGTAAGATGTTACAGAGTTAACTCATTAAGCGTGTTTTTGTTCAATTTCTTCTTAAATGTGTGATCAAGAATAACCGGTATCACAGGAAAGATATCATTTCAGATGATACTTACTACTAAATACTGCACCAAAATAACTGGCCTTTTAAAATTCTTAATCGGGTTTTTTGCATGGTAAAATAAGATTTTTTTGAAAATAACATATGAATTGATAATAAGATAAAAAAAACAAATATGTTACCAAGAATTTTGTTTATAAATTCAGAAGCTAAATCACGGACTAAAGTGGTTTGGCTACTCCCTCCCTCAGGGACATATAACGGTAGTATGTTTATATGTCTCGCCTCGCTTTGTCTTAAGTGGGCGTTTCTCTCTCTTTAGCTCAGTGTATTAATTATACAGACATCACTACAAGAAAGTCTTATTCTCCAACCCTTCACAGATGTATATCTCGTTTTAGCTAGAGAAAATCAGCTTTTCTCCCACCCTTTACAGGTGTGTCTCTCATTTTAGCTGGAGAAAATCAGCTTTTCTCCCACCCTTTACAGGTGTGTCTCTCGTTTAAGCTGGAGAAAATCAGCTTTTCTCCCACCCTTTACAGGTGTGTCTCTCGTTTAAGCTGGAGAAAATCAGCTTTTCTCCCACCCTTCACAGATGTATATCTCGTTTTAGCTGGAGAAAATCAGCTTTTCTCCCACCCTTTACAGGTGTGTCTCTCCTTTTAGCTTGAGAAAATCAGCTTTTCTCCCACCCTTTACAGGTGTGTCTCTCGTTTAAGCTGGAGAAAATCAGCTTTCCTCCCACCCTTTACAAGTGTGTCTCTTGTTTTAGCTGGGAAAGATCAGCTTGTCACCCCCTAGGGAGAGATAGCCTCGTGCCTATTAGCACGTGCTTAATTGTATTAAAAGTGTCATTTATATACACCATAAACATCATAGACCCAAGAATAGAACATAAGGTAGCAATGATAGGTGATTGTTTGATTTCTTATTGCAAGAAGAACAAGTGTATTTTGGTTGCCAAGGGTTGGCAAGCATCGAATCGGGCCGAGGACTGCAAACTTTCTGTCATTAAACCTGAGCAATTTACCTCGTTCCAGACGGTGAGAAACTGGAGCCTCCCTCCATATCTACCTCTGCCATGGTTATTGTTTACAAAGTCGTACATCACAACGTACAGATAATACAGGAACACCGGCAGGTGATAACAGATAGCTTTGGACACCATTTTGACCCCCCGCTACAATAAAACGCCATGTGATTGTCACGTGATAAACTGCTAAAGTGGTAACATGTAAAAGTTACCGCCCCTACTCCCAGGAAGGCCAGCAGATTTTATATAGATCAAATGCTTATCTATTAAACAGTAAGTTGATAAATATAAGTCCTACAGTCACAAATATCCCCCAAAGCATTCACTCTCTCACATTCTTTACTGTAGCCACACATAATTATTAACTTAACACTTGAATACAATTTCAGAGGCCTTCGATGAGACCAGGCGAAATGGATATATCAGGGAATCCGGATAACAATGGATATTTAGCTGATTGTGTCGATTATGACGTCAGTCTATTGTTGTGATGCCAAATGAACGCAAACAATAGACATATATCACATGTACTATGTGTGTCTAGATATCTGGTGATTCACGCGGCTTCTGTCGTACTTAGACTATTGTTGGGGATGGCGTAGAAGGAGAGGATGGTTCTTAATGGGAAAGAAAACGGAGTACCCGGAAAAAAACCATGTGGTCGGCGGGCAGGTGATCACAGTACCTTTTCACGTCCAATCAGGTAGTCGAACCCCAGTCGTCACTGCGCCGTCCGTCCATCCAACCGTCATGATCAGCACTATCGCATGATTTGTAAAATACATAGAACATGAATTCGTGTACATACAAAACAATTAGTGGTCGATAATCAATTAGTACTACCTTCGTGCAGGGATGCTTCGTGTATTTAAAATAGTTACAATGTTTTCTGCCATTGATCAGTTACTGGTCCTTACTTTCAACATTTCTGTAAACGTCTGATTAAATTTAATGAGTACTATTTTTTAACTTTAGGAGAGGTGACCCTATGCTTTTTCACGTCCGATCGGGGAATCGAACCCCGGCCACATTGGTCAAAGGCGAGTGCGCTATCCACTGCGCCACCTGACAACCATATACCTTGAACAAGCATACGTGTTATGTATACACTAACTCGGAATTTGAATAAGAATACTTTAATTTCAATAATAACAAAATCCCTCCCCCCCCCCCCCCCAAAAAAAATGGTAAATCAATCTATTGATTTGTGTTTATATGGCATTTGCAGTCTACATGAATGCCACAGCTTTGTCGACAAACTAAGTAATATTATGTGCTAGCGCATATTGTGTTTGCCTGCAAAGTTGTGTCATTCATATACACTGTAAATGCCATATCAAAACAAAACATTGCTGAAATATAAAATAAACCAAATGTTGACAATGCGAAAAAAACATGTATACTCCTGATCGAAGAAAGCAATTTTCATTTTCTCATTCGATTTTAACTAACATGTTTTAATTTTAGTCTTATATTCAGATTAAATTAATTTTAGAAACTGAGAGAAAAAGAAAAAGAAATAGATCCCAGGTGTTGCGATGGGGACAGCAAATCATTTTCAGGTTCTTCAATATCCCCTTTATAGAAGACACGGAAGAAAAAACCCGTTTGTTAATCCTAAAATTGTATTACAAACTGTATACAATGAACATGTTCCGCTGCAAAATTAAAATTATTCAGAAACCTAGACATGACCTTTAAATAATAAATTAAAACATTTCATCATACCATGTTCGTTGCAATAATATCACTTACGGGTTAAAAGTCTTAATTTATGTGTATACGGAGTTAACTTAGGTTTCTTGTATCTATTAAAGTAAGGTAAGTGGATTATTCCATCCCTTAAACTGGATAGTGTTCACAGCTGAGTACACGACATAAAAAATGAATAAGCAATACCAATGAATTAGATTGTTATTTAGTCCGTGGCAATACTAAATGAACATGTTCTAGCCCGTTTATAACGCACGGTTTCATTTTAAAAGATATAGAAATTTAAAACCACGATAAGGTCACTAGTTCAAGAGTATTTGGAAGTAAAATATTTTCATTTACATGATTGTAAACATAAAACCGTTCCTATAATGACGTGTATAATGCAATCCATTAGACATAGGCAAATATCGTCGAGTACTGATAACTAAACATTTATCGATGTATTTATATCTTTGTTTACTGAAAAGAACGAAATTACCAATATTAGAACTTTAAATCGACACAGACAGACAGGCTAATAAATTCTAGCTATAACCTGTATATGTAACTGAGCGAGATAAGGTTTTCTCACATACTTCACAGGGTGATCCCGCTGTTGCTAGGGAAAATATATCTTTATTTTACACGGGATAGGGAAAGACAGCTGACACGCGCTATGACGTCATACTAATGGATTGTCGACGTGACGTCATTTATTGTTTCCGTGATGTCATACAGTTGTTGTGAATGGGAAATCATCCGTCTCGACCCTAGGGCTTTGGGGTTTGCCCTATAAGATCGATGTTTATTTAGATTAGAATTTGTTTATTTGTATGTATGTGAGTAAAATAATCAAACATGGGTCTGTTCCATTGACAGGGATTATCTCAAACCTCGTGTAAGAGTTTGACTGGTCAGCACGAGACTTGCCAAACTCTTACACTCGGATTGAGATATCACTGTCCACGGAACAGACCCATGTAAGATTCTATTATTCTCGCACCACAGACAGAGATATTCCACGTCATACCCCATGCTAGATGTTTCTATCTCTTCCGATCTGTCTGGTACCTTTACGTGACATTTGGCGGATTTTTTACACAGCGACGTATTCATCCGCGCGTAAACAGCTCAAAATTGACAATCTGCACTATACATATTCTGTTTTGTCATTATATGTTTTGTTTTGATGTACATTATGTAGTTAGATATCTGATGTTGTAGATAAAATATAATTTACACTTTAAAATATGTTGTCTTCGTTGTAAAGAACTAAAAGGTGCGAGAGAAAAAAAAGTATTACCTGTAGCTGAGCGAGATCGGGGTTTCTCTTACCCTGTACAGGTGTATCTGCACTTTTACAGGTGTGATATAAATAGAATCCATCACTGCTATGAGGTATGGATAAGGTAATTCAAACCCAAGGGACAAAATATTGAGCAGGAGATCCATATGGAGAAATGACGGTCACTTTGCTAATTTGCATAATCCGCCATCTTGGATAAAATGGCGGCCATTTGGCCATTTGGGATAACACTATGGGCTTTACGTTTATGCGTTTATCGACTGGATAGCAATCCGGATAATATTGCCGGGATGTCAAATTTCCCTACACACCATCTTAATATGGGTTAAATTAGCGCGATCCATTAAAAACTCGAGGTTCCTGGAGTAAATGAACTTTTGAAGCGAGGGCGCTTATATGTGCTATGCAATCGAATACTGGAAAACGACCAAACAGCCATTTTTTGCACTTTCAGTCGATTTTTTCGATGCTGTCTCCATGACGTAGATAAGTTGCCAAGATTCGTTCGATAACTTCCGGTTTAGAAAAACACAGTTTATGAGGTGTTTTAAGAATATTTGCAAAAAATTTCAGTTCGAAGAACTATTTAATTTCGCTATAGTCTACTTGTATCCCGCCCCGGGCCTCAAATAAATATAGTCTCTTCACCACTAAAACTACGTTTAAGTGCTTCCGTGTAAACAATGAAATCCAGCCTTACAAAGAGGAAACCGTATTTCACAGTGGAGAATTTATTTTATCTGCAACGTTAGAAATATAACATTATCAAAACAACACTTCTAACCACAAAACAGAATATTTATAATTACTCGCGTTAGCGTGCGTATGCATACACGCTCTGTTACAATTCCTCGAAGTGTCGCGGAAAGGTGTCAGACAGATCGGACGAGGTGGAAAAACCTAGCACGGGGTTTCACTTCGGATTTCCTTTCTGAGGTGCGAGAAAATAGTATGTAACCATGCATAAATCAGGTTTAACACAAATCGTAACATTTAACAGATTTATTTTATTGAACATGGTATTTCCATATACAGATATAAGTATACAACATAAAAAAACATCAGCTATGTACAAATATTGATCAACAAACTATGTGTACTTTTTCATGAATATATTTAACGGTGTTTTATAAATGTCTAACAGATATGAGCTGACATGGCTTGGATAATACATTAACATGCATCGAGCTTGTAAAAAGTTTATGTAAACAGTTTATGTAAACAGTTTAGCTCATAACGACGCAGCAATTACAACATACCGTGTTATTTGTATGTTTCTGTTCTTTAAATTAAGCACAGTTTTCATAATGATATTGTTTTCGTGGCACGTGTTTTTGTTGAAATGGTATTTTATACGACAGCAATTCAAAAATCTTAGTCATGTGAGCGATTTAATCAAAGGCAGAAATTAAACAAAGATACTTGATATAGTGTTTCAAGCGTCACAATGACAGGTACAAATGACATCATTGTCAGAGTCACGTGACAAATTAAAGTAAATAAGACAATTTCATTTGATACTTTCGTAGTATGGAGTGAGCGAGTATAGTAAATATACAGAGCACATGGCATAAATTAAGAAATACTTCGGTAAGTTTTACTTGGGTATTACACGTTAAGAAGATAACGTATACTGAACAAAAAATACATCTGAAAACATATAAGGATTTCCTTGCATAAAGAAGAAGGTAACAGGTACACATCTTTAAACATTTTAACGGGAATATCAAGTATGCACAAAAACAAGTTAATGATAAAAACAAAACAAAAACAACGAAAATGCTTAAGATAAGGAAAGGTAAAATACAGGAAATTAGGAAACCGTCATTCATGTCCTCAGGGACCATTTATTTTTCCTAGTTCTATACGAAAACTTGGTATGAGTAATTAAGAGGCCATATCAGGTTCAAAAATCCATAAAAAATACTTCTGACAATTTCTCAGAAACCCCCGTGTGTGGATTAAATACGAAGGCACGACATAAAATTTAATATAACTAACAAGATGTATATTATAAACACAGATCAAAGTGTCCGGACTTACGATATTCCAATGTACAAGCGAGCTCACGTAACCGATCTAAAGCGAGAAACCCTGTACACACAAACTAACGTATCCTATAAGAAAACGCTAACATATTCGGACTAGCGAGATTCCACTCTACAAACAAAATCCAATTGAACACACAATCTAACATATCCGAATAAGAAGCAGACGTATCTGAACCAGCAAGATTACAGTCTACACACTAACACATCCGGATTAGCGAGATTCCGTTGTATATGCAAACTAACGTATCCGGACTAACGAAGTTTCACTGTTCAAACAAGCTTACATATCCGAACTTGAAAGATCCCCCTCTTAACACAAGCTGACGTATCCGGACTAACGGGATTCCACAGTACAAACAAGCTTACATATCCGGACTAGCGATATTCCAGTGTACGCACAAACCAAAGTGTCCGTTTTACACGATACACATATAAACTTAGTATTTACGGTACCGTATACATGCAGCATTCTCTTTTCTTTCTCAAATACATTCATGAAAATAATATTCTCGATTGTTATCACATACCTGGGGTCATATAATACATATATGGATTTAACGTATTATTAATAGTTTCATTTTCATACCAGTATGCAGCGAGTTAGCAATTCGTAGTTAATACGTACAGTATGTAAACGTCCATTGTATTGATGTAACACCATTCAAAATGTTTTCCCCCATTTTTGATCTGAAGGATTACCGTACCACTGCCAAATACTGTAGCTAATTATTGGTGACTGGTTTTCTTCCGGCATGATACATGCAAATTGTTTGTCGCAAGAATAGCACTAGAGTGCTAATGTTTATTGTTTTAAATATGCGACATTAACTAACAATTCTTGTATGTTGTAAACCAAACATTGCTGCACTTTTTTTAAGAAAAAATAATTAGGATGAAATCAGGAAAATGCATTCAACAAGTGCTCTGAGTGTAAACTATCACCGAGACTTGGCAAGGATTCGAACCCTGGACTTCAGATTGTTATACCATTCCTCTAACCGATTGAGAACCTGGTCAGCGGCAAGTGTCCTTGTCCAACTGTGCTACAGTTATATCCAGAGTGAAAATAAGGGGAGGTTACCGTATATAGGAAAAAGAATACAGTGCAGCGGGACAGGGATCCTTAAAGCTAAACATACCGTAAAACATTCGGGAGCCGTCGGCCACTTTCCGTAAACGAGAAAATATTTTTTTCCTTTACGGAAATTGTCAACGGTTCCCGATTGACCGTAAAACAGACGTCAACCGGCACAGGAACAATAATAAATTGTGTCACGTGATTTATGTATATGGCTAGCAGTCATACTATGAACTTCATTATTATTTTGCGGGTTCATTAAGTAAGCATGCAAATTAAAATACAACACATAATGTTATGAAATAAAGTTAAAACTGAGTTCATTTCGAATAATTTTCGTGAACAAACATGTATAATAATTTGTAATTTTGAAACAAAATAAAACATTGCTTAAAATAAAATTGAAAAAAAACCACACAAAGTATTAAAATAAAAGTAGGATTTCTAAAAATATCTTTCAATTGATCGGATATATGGATATTTTGAGATCGGCGATGACCTGTCGTGTAAATAAGTGCGGATTTACTCAAACTCGTGTATTTCATAAGTACAGATACGACTTTATCGGGATTTACCATAGATATCGACAAAAAAACCAAAAAACCAAAAAAAACCCGTTATATATATATAATGGCGACAATTAAATGGAAATACACCTGCACTTGTAGTGGCATTTTACTAACCTAACCAGAACTACTTAATATGCTTAATACCACGTGATCGTGATGACGACGTATGTTTTACGTAATTCGTTAAAACAGCTATTATAACACATAACAAGTTTTGTAAATCTCTGACACACACAAAATCATATGATCAGTAAACATACTGTAACCGTTCCTATTTTAGCGGTGCTCTAATTTTAGCTCCTTTTACGCTATCTCTGAGAGGTTGAATTTAAGTAGAGCGTTAACCATAGACAAGTCTGTACATAAAAATACTTACACTCCAGGAGAAGAAGTGGGATTTACCGTTGACATATATCAGAGTGCCTCTTCTGAAGACGAAAGCTGATAATTCCTGGTATCTTTCAGAAAAAAAGCTTCACGCCCATACTTCAATGCTATTAGACCACGGATTTAACGATAGAACCACAAACAAAACTCAAACAAAATAATATCGCGATTAGTCATTCGTCAATCATATACTGAATAGCTATTGGTCAATCATGTACTGACTAGCTATTGGTCAATCATGTACTGATTAGCTATTGGTCAATCAGGTACTGATTAGCTATTGGTCAATCAGGTACTGATTAGCTTTTGATAGACAAATCCGTGATCAGCTAATTCTCAATCATGCACTGATTAGCTATTGGTCAATCAGGTACTGATTAGCTATTGGTCAATAAGGTACTGATTAGCTATTGGTCAATCAGGTACTGATTAGCTATTGGTAAATCAGGTACTGATTAGCTATTGGTCAATCATGAACTGAATAGCTAGTGACTTGATATCCGATTAATGATGACAAATTATAGACGTGAGTTCCTTGAGTTATAGTGATGGGGTATCGGATTACCATTAGATCATACATATTCGCTACTGGTTAGTGACTAAACGTTCGAGTTAAACTGGTGGGCATTTGGTCACCATTCAAGTTACAAGCACTTTATAAAATGAAAATTGTGCAATTCATATATACATTGAATACTTTCAGACACTGGTTCCGTGATACAGTGGTGACAATATTAATTTAAATCTAAGGTTTTCATGATAAAATTGTGACAACACAAATAGAAATGTAAGGTTTTCTTGATACAGTTGTCATAATACAAATAAAAATATAAAAACTATTGAATGAATGAATTACATTGATGGAATGGATTACATTGACTGAATTTCATTGAATGAATGAATGAATGCATTTATTGGGATTTCATTGAATAAATGAATGAATTAATGAATTAATTTAATTAATGAATACTGAATGTTTCCTTCATGAGTTACTTCCCCTTAGCCTTGTGTTAATGTGAATTATTTTGTGTTAATTTTTTCATTTCCAACATGTCTAAACTATTATGTCTTATTGTTTATTCCACTTTGGCCATTTGATGGAGAGAATATATATAGGCTTTGCCTGTTATTCTATCCAATTGACTATGACATCTTGTCAATAAAATTTGATTAAATGAAATAATGAATACTTCTACAAATATGTATTGATCTTGAAATATTAAAACAGAGTATCATAAAAAATACCAATGTAAATCATCATTCTAAACATTTCCAAGGTTGAAATGACGACAAAGAAATACAAATTTCGATACAGTATATAGAGCATACAACAAGATGAGTATTTACAAAGGTAGTGTCTGTGGGAGTCTTTAAGTAAACGAGTATTTAAGCACGATGTGCTGCTGACGGTCAGTTCTGTATGTTACATACTCTTGGTAAACGAGTGTGCAGTGATGTAGATTTCGTTGAATCTGCTTCTGTGTGTCATAAATTCCAAGTTCTTAGCGATGCAGAGATCTCTTCGGTATGTTGCAATCTCCGGGTAATCGAGTATTTACCGATATACGGTTTGATGAAGTTTGGTCACTGTGTGTAACCTTCATCAAGTAAAAAAGGTATATAGCGTTGTCGAGTTTATTTTAGTGTTTTATACTCCAGGAAAACACGTATGTAACGTTGTAGAGTATATTGTAGTGTTTCATTCTCCAGGAAAACACGTATGTAACGTCGTAGAGTATATTGTAGTGTTTCATACTCCAGGAAAAAACGTATGTAGCATTGTAGAGTTTATTTTAGTGTTTCATACTCCAGGAAAACACGTATGTAGCATTGTATAGTTTATGTTAGTGTTTCATACTCCAGGAAAACACGAATTTAGCATTGTAGAGTTTATTTTAGTGTTTCATACTCCAGGAAAACACGTATGTAGCGTTGTAGAGTTTATTTTAGTGTTTCATACTACAGGAAAACACGTATGTAACGTTGTAGAAAGTATGGGAGTCCGTCGTAGTTTACACACTCCCGGTAAACAAGTATTTAGCGACATACATATTTGCAGAAGAAAACGGTATTTTATATTACCACCTCCTGGTAAATGAGTATTAAACAAAGTGTAAATGTTTGAAGAAGTCACCCCTGTGTGACACATGCTCAAGATAAATGATTTTTAGAGATGTGTCCAATCGATTATGTTGATTCCTTTAAGATTTCCAATGAGTTCTTTTTCATTTTCATGAATTTTCTGTTCATCTTCTACACTCAGAACGACATCTGTGACGAACGCCGGATTACCAAGACCGTTCTTACCAAGTTTTCCTTCCACATCATCATGATATTTATCAACAACATCCACGTTTTTCTTCCCTTTTTCGTCAGCCTTTTCCTTTTGTTGTTTCTGTCTTTCTTCAGTTGCTCGTTTCTTCGGCATCGACAGGGTAAGTTTCTTCCAAAAATGGTCAATTTTCTTTTCAGTAGAATCTGCGCCGGGATACGCAAGATAGGTAACCGACTTAATTATCTGTTTTAGATTGGGGTCCATATTGTCGTTAACATCGGCAATATCCTCTAGAAGTATCGGGATGATCTTGTGCTTACGTTTCAGCATTTCATGTTGGGCTACTTGATATTCAAACCTAGTGAACTCACTAGTGACGTAGCGTGGTGTCAGGATCAGAATGGTTCTTCTGCTGTTGTCGATGGCGTTGATAATGTTGTTGGCAATCGCTAGAAATTGTAGAAAAAAAGATCAACTTTAACTCCTAATCATGAACAAATATGATGCCAATAATTTGTAAACAATAAAAGCTACTTCATAATTATTAGTGTTTGTGATGCTATTGAATTATAAAGTAAGACAGAGTTTAAAATCATGAATGGTTACGATGCTATACAAATGTTAAAAAATTCGTCATGATGTTAATACAATGTTAATACAATGTATTTTTAAGAATAGCAATAAATGTTAGGAGCTAGAAAATTGCTTAAAATATCAACATTACTTAATTATCAAAGTGAGTGTAATGATACTAGGCTAATGTAAGCGATAATTTTATCTTTACCATAGTGAAAAGCCAAGTTGCTATGAAACTTGATCGTATAGAATGAAATACTGTGATTCGATTTTATATATAATTTCGGCCAAGTATGCACCCCAGCAACATTATTTCTATAATTCCTTTTCTGTGAGCAGACTGAACTAATTATCAACACGAAGACATAAATAGGATAAGGGAAGAGGTAGAAGAAAGAATAATGGATTGTCTGACTTAGTTCTTCTGCTCTCCGCTATGTTTCGAAAGAAAGAGCGACACCTGGTGTAGAGAATTCGTACAAAGGCAGGTAATCCAACCTTAATAAAATCTATTACTTGTAACTGAGCGAGATCGGGTTATCTCAGTCGAGTGCTAAGAGTCTGAGGTTGGGATGTTACATAATCTTAGTCCGGGATTGAGATGACCCGACCGTGCTCAGTAACAGGTGATTGATTTTTTTCTCGCACCTTTTAGTTCAAAGAAAAAACTATACAATTTTGCTTCAGACTTCAAGTATCTCGTCTGGGGCTTCAAATAAACATGGTCTCTGCACTACTTCAGCGATATTTGAATGCTTCCACGTAAAAATGTAGTCCGTCCTCACAAAGAAGACAACGTATTTCACAGTGTAGATTATATTTCATCTTCAACATCAGATATCTAACAACATCAAAATAATACTTTTAACAACAAAACAGCATATTTATAATGCAGATTATCAATTCCAAGGTCAACAGCGTAAGATCATCTAAACTATCTTCCGGTCGTCTAATAGTCTCGTTCAACCAGACTCCTGTTGCCTGCGCAAGCTACACCGAACAGATTATAAGTGATCAAGCGTCTGGTTGAACGAGACTAGTCGTCTTATGAATTGGTTAGAGTCGAACAACCATGCTGTCAGAATTCTTTCAAGTGTGGTACATACAAGCGCATTGTAAGTTGCACTGTAATGATAAAACATACATGATTGAAAATTACAATGCGACTGATTGAACTTTAACATCAAAAACGCAAGAAAGGAAAGATACAAGAAATATGAACTTTAAAGATTAAAAAAGAAGGAAACTACAAAACATTAGCTTGATCTTCCATTTATCCTGTAAATGGGTTTCTACCAAATAGTAATAATAACGATTGATCTCTTGATGAAAAATTCAATACTCGTTTTGTTCGGGCGTTACTTCCCCGAACCAGCTAATGTCGGATCAGGACGGTATTATACAGTATAGCTTAAGTAGGTAATAATGTAAGCGTTACTAGCTGAAGCAACCCATATTCAGACAAGCCTTATATGATTTGTCTAGGGTAAAATCACAATAGCATGTATTCGTACAGTCTACAGTATGAGTCAGCGAGGTAATATCTTGTCTAGCAACTTGTATTCAGATTATGCAACCAACTAGGACTATAGCATGGCCGTCATATTGAACTGACACAGGAATAAAATCATATGCAAATATATATAATATAAACTTTATTTATTTTACAACAATTATGAAACAAGTTATTTCAACTAATATGAATCACTCATGTTGGCCCGGATGTTAGCGCGTGGGGGTCTTAATGTGGGAGGAAACTGGAGTACCCGGAGAGAACCCATGTGGTCGGGCAGGTTACCCCATCCCTTTTCACGTCCGGTAGGGAAATCGGACCCGGCCGCCTTGGTGAAATGCGAGTGCGCTATCCACTGCGCCACCCGACCACCCAAATACAATCACTTTGTTGTCTTTCTTCTTTTTCTGTGTAACGTGCATACATATTCTTCACTGTTTTCTCGTTAGACTACCAAGGAAGAAGATTCCATTATCAGTTTATTTTCCCTTTCAGACAAGTGGTTTCCATTATACATATTGTTTCCCGTTAGACTTGTAGATGCAATTTTATTATTTTTTTAGCTTACATTCTAAATAGTTAATACTTAAATTGACTGTCTTAGTTATATGAAATACACCAGTTTTCTAATAAATATTTTATCATAAGCTAGTTAAAGGAATGTAATTTTTTGTTATTATTTAGGATACAAAGTATCGCTTTTTGTAAATAATGTATATATTGTATCTGCATTTCCAGGATTTGTTATATGTGTTTGACTTTATATTATATATTTTGTGAAGTACACAGGAGCGTTTGCTCTAGAAATTATATCGCATGCACATAAAGCTGAGACGCAAGTTTACAATGGGCGTGGTACGACAGGTAAGAAAAGGGAAATCTCATTTTCCTATTGTACTTGCCAAAAGTAAAGAACGGACCATCATAACATGGAACCACATTCCCAGTGTCCTTCCAGTCCTCATTACGACCAGAAGACCTTTCAGGAGGACACAAATGAACCTACATTGTCGGATATCAGTACCACCTTTTAAATGTTTTATGTAATCCAGTTCATAGCTGTCACTTAGTGGGCCACTTTAAATGTCTAACTTTTTTTTTAATGTTTCACTGGCGGTTCGAGAAATGTGGATCATGTCGCTGGAGCAGCACACCCCTTAGGGTCAGCTCCTGTTATACCATGTACGCATGCGATTATGTGACAAAGAATGATGAAGGTCGTTCTGAATCATGACACACCTAGTAACTGTATATTATGCACGTAAATTGACTCTCGCAGACGAAACTCAACCCAGGAATACCTCCATTGTGCTTAAACCCAAAAGGGAGATCAGGATATGTACAGTAACATTGGGATTTAAGCACTATTTTACGACATATAACAAAGCTACTTATCATGGGAAAATCTATGAACATTAATAATATAAATTAAATGTAAAATGCTTTTTTACCACGATATTTGCGCAAATATTCAATTAACTGAGTGGGCAATTGACATTTCCTGTTTGGAAGTTAAGATATTATTGATACAGGAGACAGCGCTATGAGTTGTTTTGGTAGGTACATACACTTTAACGTGTCCTCAAAGTACTTTGATAAAGAGAGAGTTTGAGGGTAAGAGGGTAGAAAGTTTAAAGATGAACCAGCGGAGTCAAAAACGTCTACAGCATGTTGTGTGGGGTATTCGTATGAAAAGATTGCATTCCGTTTAACAAACGAGTTTTACATGTTTATTTTGCTTCCTCAGGTACACCATAAAAAGCATCGTGACGTAAACACAAATGAGATGACACGCCATGTATTTATCCTATGAAACAGCATGACAGTATCGGCGCCATATATTTTCATCACAAGGTGATAACTAAGTGCTATTTTGTATGATCACATGATTTTTTGTATGTAAAACAGCCAATTTATGTATTTAGATGATTTCATTCATTGTAAGTAATAATTTTGCCATCACAAAATATACCATATTCAGATAAAATGAATGATATTGACATTTTATAATGTAAATATCCTGTTTGCATGTAGTCGCAATGAATAAAGATATTACGCCAGTATGTTTAACTGTTATGAAGACAGTTGCAGAATTGTATATTCACAGACTTTGACTTATATTTCCCTTAGCCGTTAGTTCATATTCGCAGCTTTATTTGTAGTATCAGATGCACGTAACACACACACAATTTAGATGATTCCATTCGTTGTAAGTTTCTATTTTGCCATCGCAAAATATATCATATTCAGCTTAAAAATTGAATGAAATTAACATTTGTTATGTGAATATCTGGTATGCATGTGGTCGCCATAATCACCAAAAGAATGTGAAGATATAAGTAAAGATATAACGTAATTATGTTTAACTGTAATAAGACAGTTGCTGAATTTTGGTTTTTATTCACAGCTCTTTGTGCAGTATACAATGGACATTACACACAAACAGATGACTGCGTCTTTAAAATTCAGTAATAGATACAGTATACACAAAAATGAGTTATGCTTAATCTTACAGCTGGTTCGTCCTTTTGGGTCCCATCGGTGATGCCAGGGACTTAAAAGTTGCAAATCCAAAATTAGTCTAAATGGCTGTTGAAACAGAGGGGCAGGTGAGTAAAACCCCTTTTTTATTTATATTCAAACTAGAAAAATGGAGTACATATTAATTTCAAGTAAACAATAATTTAAGTGTGTATATTATGAGCCGTGCACTACTCAAAAGATATAAATGTGGCCATCAAGGTCACGCTAAACATTTTTGGTATACTGTATCTATTACCAAGTTTATTGTGTGTGTCTGTGTTATTGTTCATCATCCAGGTTAACATATATATAGGAATTACTTCTTTGCCCCATATATATATATATATATATATTATAAATCAGAAAAATGATCCTTACGGACGAAGGAATATTATGAAAAGAAAAATTCTCAACAACGAGTCTTTAGTACTTTCATCTCTTCTAGGAGATTCTTCAGACTGTTTATTTGAAGTATATGTTGTGACGTCATAAAATAATTCGCTATAGCGGCGTCTGCCATATAGGCCTACGTACCCGCCATAACGATCCCACAGCAATATAAATACATTAATTATAGTCTTAAGGCAAATAGTACTATTTGTTTAGGATTTAGATATACTAGTAATAATATTATTATAATATATATATATATATATTCATTTAAATTTGCATCACGCTATTTGATTTCTGTTGTCAATTATCCCTTTCACCACTGTAGACCATAATGGACTCATCCAGATCGATGCATGGTAAAGTCTACTAAAGTAACATAGGGGTGAAAGGGTTAAATCTTTAGTCAAACAAATAAAGGATATTTAATGATTTCCCTTTTTATACCGTATATATCTCATGAGTATGGCAGGATATCTATACTTTTACATGAGTGCGAAGAACAAGTGCAAAAATCGGTAAATTCTGCCGTATGATTGAAACATATTTGGTAAATATTGTTCTGATTGAGAAAATATTGTTCTCGTTGGTCAATATCAAATCGTTACTAGATTTTATATCATCATGTCATATTTTCAAATATTTCATTTCATTTCAGGTCCTTCTGTATGCAAGACCCATACACTAAAACATTCTGAAATGAAATATATCACATTTTATACGTATTCACTGCAGCGACGATACAAGATTTTATCACATTGATTATTTCTAATATTTCACCGGTAAACATGTAATGAAAATTGGATGCTTCTATTACCACACGTATGGGATTTTTTCATAAAAAACTAAGGATGATTTTGTGGACATTTTATAAAACAAACTACCACAAAAAATAAACAAAACAAAAGGATAGGAAAGATGTCAGCGTACAAGTGTCATTATGTTGTGTATGTATAAAAGCTTAATAGTTCCTACAATGGGTTAACATGTATCTGTATATAAGTAAGTGGTTTCTCAATTGCTTACACGTATTACAGTCTACATAGATAAGTAAATACCACTCCTTCACTTTGTCTATCCATATATTTATGTTTTCTGCGAATTAGGATTATAATAAAATCGTCAGACAGATACTATGTCAGTGTTATAAAGTGCACGTCATCCGCTACTTTTCATGTCAGTGGGAGGGGTCAGTTCACCTATGTATTGTAACAGTCTTATTGGTACACAGTGACTGTGCCCCACGGACTTAACACGTGGGGCTGAGTTACATCCGTCAGCAACAATAGTTTATATATATCTTAAAGACGTCATACTTATAAAACAAGATCCATGTATTCGATAGGAGCCAGTCTGGGCTAAATTGATCAAAGCACTGTTAGCTTCACTTGATATTAAGTTACATTTTGTCAACAACAGTCATCTTTTTAATATTATAAATTAAAACATTTTTATTGAAATAGTACGTTTTATTCATTCATTTTATTCTGAAAATGATAATAAATGAGAAAATAAATGCACCTTCTTCACATTATGAATTTCAGAAACTGTTAAAAGAATCGACATCGACTTTTTTCACCGTTCCATCAAGAAAGCGGTGAGCCCAGGACTCAATCGTATGAAGACTTGTTAGCTTAATTTTCCATTCAGGTTAAGAAATTAATCTGTAATATTTTCTTAATTATTTAAAATGAAAACAAACTATGCTTGTTCTGGGATTAATAAAGTTCGTCTGTAGATAAAATATACAAATATACTCAGATTGTTTACTTCTATTTTTCAAGAATCGGATTTGAAAGAATTGTCTAATGCACCGTTAAGCTAAGCAAAACTGACAAAACTAAGAGATAGCCGCATCAGTGAGCTACGAACACACAATCCGTTAAATATTCGACCAGGATCATTTACATAAGGAATAATGTTGTTTTAAAAACATTTTTACGTATACATTTCTTGTAAGTACTCACTTTCTCCAGGCAAGAAGTCTCGATGGTGTAGACAGAGAGTAAATCCGAGCTCTTTCTCAAGTTTAGGAAACAATGTATTCAGTACAAATTTCTGATCGATGTCTGCAGATTTATACGAAACGAATGCATCCCATGTTTTCTCATCTGCAAAGAGATAGGATTATTTGTCAAACAGGAGTAATGAAAAGTACTATTATGCAACTAGTATGTGACAAAACAAACCGCGAAAATAAATCTTTCTTATAATTTCAACATAACAATATAATATAACGACAAAATAATGATGCTGATAATAATTGTCAGTATACATTTCAACTTATTTCAATAAATGAAATTATACGAAATAAGGAAAAATATTTAATTAATCAATTTTAGGTCTAGTACATTAAACCTGAAATGTAAGTGTCAAAACGACCGATTAAATCGGATGAAACAAACGGAAATGGGATCTAAGAATTGTATGACGATTAAGTTTGCTAAAACTGGTTCATTTGGGTTCTGTTTGTGGTTTTTTTAACAATGCGTGTATAAAAAGCAATCAGTTATTAAAGTACCCGTGTTTTAAACACGTGCATTGTCGGTATAGAGAATAGGTCAGCGGTAGCTCACCACATGATTGTACGAGGCGTCTAATGTTGGTGTTTGTGAGTATGTGTGTGTGGGGGTGTGGGTGGAGGGAGGGGGATGGCTCTACAGTATCCGTGTCTTCTGTTAAGGGGACATTTAGAAACCAAGAATAGACCCACTGCATATGTATAGTAAAAGTCGACTTATGTTGGGCCCCTGCACGATCGGAGGTTTCCTTTTGTGTGTTTAACTAAGAGGACAGTGAAGAGACCAACGTTGATCAGCTGCCACCAATGCAACACTTAGGATCTTTTCCGTGTCATGTCTTCTTAATCTTTCCCGACTTCTTTCTTTCCTATCTACATTCTCTTCCTGCGGTTTCCCCCTAGGAACCCGTCCTCATATGACCCTGGTTGTTGCGAGAACATTAAACCATAACACTATGAACCCTTATGCATTATATTGTTTTGGTTCAAATAATTGTTTAAAACTAGTTATATATGTGAAAAAGATATTTTTTTAATACCAATCGTATCTCTTTAGAGAACTAATTTCAATTTCAAAAGCGTTATTAAATGAATATTCAAATACGAAATGAACTGTATAAACTCGTCCTGAACTCGTATGTGTTCACTCCACCTGGATACACTGTAATTGCATACCACGAATAAAGCACGGGAAATAATTCCGACGACAATCGCTGAATTCACATTACATAACAAACGCAGCAGTACGCAATGATAACCATATAATGCATCGTAGATATACAAAGTTAAGAAAAATAGGAAAAAATCAAGTTTTATGAATAAAACCCTGAAACGCTTGAAGGCACAACTTATTCTTATACAGGTGTATAAGAAACTATGGGCTTCTCGTTCCACTGCCGAAAACTGTAACTACGTATTGGAAACTGTTTTTGCCGGCATGACTATAGCTTTAATAAATCATTTCTGAAAAGAAAACCCATACATTGCAGGACTTTCATGAAAACTTTATGAATATTAAATAAACAAAACATCATCAACAGTAGTGTTATGAGAGTAACAAAATAGTGCAGCTACACTGGGAATCGAACAATGGACTTCAAATATTATTATATTATCACTCTACCTTGTCAAATGAAAGCTAAATGGAAGTTACTGTACGAAAGCCCTCAATGCATTGAGACAGGAATACTGAAGTAAATTAATCATTTGTTTGTTTTTAAATGTAAGTATTTTTGTGTGAAATATCTGACGATGATCATTATGTAAATTTTATATCTATTTTTTTATCATAATTAGAAATTCATATAATAATCGCACAGAATAGTTCCAAGAAAATTTGATTTATCTACTTGCCGTATTCTCCCTGCTAAATAGACAATGAAGCAACAAAAATGAGTTTAGACTCACTTCCTTTGTGAAGTTGTTCATATTTTATTTTATGCTGTGCAATAATAGTTCCTTGATCATCAATTTATCACTGATCACGTGTGAACTGACAACAAAATTAAGTCACTTCCTTTGTGAAGGTGTTCATCTCTCATTTTATACTGTGCATTCATAATCCCTGGATCGTAAATTTATAATTGATCATGTGTAAATGGACCTAAGATAGGTCCACATTTTTCATTCAACTTTCAAACACACAACTATAACTAAACAATACATTAGATGATTTGATTTATATTGACGTGTCAGTTAAAAGGGACTTAACAAATATTGCATGATAGTGACCATCGAAATAATACATTATATAATGATGGTACGTTTTACTTTTAACTAGTTATGTTTGGTTAAGCTGATTCTTGGATCACTTTGATGACAATCTTAACCCTTTAACCCTGTGAACCATAATGGACTTATCCAGATCAATGCATGGTAGAGTTTATTAAAGTTTCATAGGGGTGAAAGGTTTGATAAATAACAGACCTGCCACTGCGACAGCACATAAGCCCATGCTATAACACTATTGCGGTAGAAATTGACGTCATACTTTGTTTATTTTGAAGAAACTGAGCATTTTGTTTCTTTATTGGTATTGTACTGGGAATACATGTTGTGGAAATGTTGGCCATTGGACAACAAAGAACAAACATTTGTTAAAAAGATTATTTTTTGTTTGGATAAGGTTTTACGCCTCCTCAATAACAACAAAGGATCGCTACGTATGTATACATTACCATGACGTCTCCTGTGAATTGAATGGTGAGCAAAGGGTTTCGTTTTGCCTTTGTGCTAAATAGAGTGTACGATATCCGTTTATTCCTGTGTGTTGCAAGGAACGCATGAAATTGTGTACTTTCTGTGTGTTGAATGGAGTAGGATATCTCGTTTTCACATATATTTATATTTGGTCGAATTTATCTATACACTTATCAAAATCCAAATTCCTCTGGGTGAAAAGAACTTCTCCGAATATTAATTATGCTTCAATCGAATTAGAGATTCGCAATTCGTGAAACGTCCAAATATTTTTTTCGGAAACATCTAACTTCACGTTTTACTATTTTCGCAAGGATATATACACATATGCAACATATTTTTTTTTACCTGAGGCCAGGTGTGTTTAAAGTGCAAAGCAGTTATCATTAACAGTGCGCTTGACCTGATGTGAACGCGAATGTATCTGACGTCATTTATTTTCAAAGTACTTCCGGTTGGAATCAAACCAATGACTCATATTATTGCTTAAGCGTTTTACCGATTAGAATAAAGAGATATTTACACTATCCGAGTCTGTAACAAACGACTTAACAGTTCTCCGATATGCCATGCAGTGTATAACAGTTACGAAATTGAATACTTACCATCGTCTTCATAAGCCTGGAAATAATGGACGATCTTCATTACAATAGTAACCCTGTTTCGCCACATCCAGAAGAACAGAAGAACAGCCGCCACGATGAGGCAGACTAGGACGATAGCACTGACCCACAGTGGCCACAGAGCCACCTCGGTACTAGAGGGCGCTGAAATACAAACATAATATTTGTAAAATAAAATATCTTACCAAAAATATTTCCCTTATGCTTGAGGAAATCGTGGTTGCCCTTATTTTTTCTAATATTGAATTGAGTGATAGTGATATGTCAAGGAGGTTATAGATATTGTAATGTTTACTACTTGTATTCCAATTTTAGCGAGTGAATCATTTGAAGCATATTCCTGAAAATGTGTATACGCGAAAAATTATGTAAATACCAGTAAATATTATGTTCTTAAAATGAAAGTCGACAACATCTATATGTGAGTGTATGGGTGCGTAAATGAGTGAACGCATGCACGACAACTTGTCATTTAGCTACCTAATTTGTTAAGTATTTTTAGTGTGCAATCTTGTAATTATGTTGCATTTTTTATTGTTATTCTGTTATGGCAATGGCTGTATATAAGTTGTATAACTTGTTCCCAATCCAGTTGCAATATGGCAATAAAATATGTTTAAATCAAACTTATACTAAGAAATTAAAAGTTCATATTTTAGTTTATGGCCTGTTTCATATAAATTTCGGTTTAGAGAGGGTCATCCTCAAAATTCCATTGGTAACGCTCACTTAAGTTCTCTGCTCGCCTGGACTACGTCATGGCAAAATCGATAATGCGCGATTAGCTATTTGGTTGATTTCATGTGAAAACAAACTGACCAATCGCTACGCTTATCTATATCCTTTGCAAAATACGAAGAACTAAACCTGACTTCAAAGCCAGATATTGTTACCGTTACTAAGCCGCGTGATATTTTTAATGTACATAGGATGATTAAAATAGTCTATTTGTATCATCCACATGGTATCGCGCACAGAGCCTTCGATTTCGTCCTAACATATTCCAGGGGAGTAGAGAACGTAAGTGAGCGTAACCCCTGGATACCGAGGATTTGTTTGTTTGTTTGTTCGTTTTACGTCCTATTTACAGCTATGGTCATTAAAGGACGTGCCAGGTTTTTNCAGTACCAAGCGACTGTCCCACGTAGGCCTCGGTGGTGGTGGGGGGTAGTGGTAGCTGAATATCAGACGCCTTAATCACTCGGCCAACGGGGCCCCTTATCCAGGAATTCGAGGCTGACAGAGGGTACATAGTATTTCATTTTTGGTACGATACTTACCTGGGGTGGACAGTTTCTCCTTCATTTCACATAAATCTCCTTCGTAGTTGAACTGGCATTGACAAAACTCTGTCCCATTCGAGAGAGTTTTACAATGGCCAAATTTTGAGCACGGCATGCAACAAAGATCTTGGCACAGTCCTCCTGAACCACCATCATCACAGACACATTCTAAAATTGCCCCAATGTCTCCTTCAGTCATTTCACATACACCATATTCACAAACGAAGTTAGGCATGCATTGTCTTTCTGATAACGGCCGTTTTGTGTAATTTGCTGAACAAGCATGAACTTCGATGGAATTGTCGGTAGACACAGGCGACGGTTTAAGTGTGCTTGGGGTATCCCTTGAAGGTGTTGTTGAAGGTGTTGTTGTGGTTTCTTTTGTCTTGCATTTAAATGTGTCACCGACCATAATGCAGTCTGTATTAGATGGGCAATCCAGCGGACATATAAAGCGGTGACAAAAAAACCCCTCCCAGCCATCGTCACACGAACAAAAGAAGGCTGACCCATCTTTTTTACAGTAACCATGGATGCACTCAAAGCCACGAACACATTGCCGTTCTGATATCGGTCTTAGCGTCGTAGTCGGTAAGCTGGTAGTTGTCGTAAGATTTGGAGTTGCACGTTGTGTTGAAAACGGTTGTTTAGTGGTTGTCACTTTCTCCTTACATTGGAATCCATCGTTACCCAAAACACAGTCTGCACTGTTCGGGCAATTCAGGGGACATTGAAATGTTTCGCAAAAGGCTCCGTCCCATCCATAATCACACACACAACTGAAGTTGGGCCCATCTTTGTCACAGTAACCATGGATGCACTCAAAGCCAAGAACACACTGTCGTTCTGTTGACGGTCGAAGCGTCGTAGTCGGTAAGCTGGTAGTTGTCGTAAGATTTGGAGTTGCACGTTGTGTTGAAAACGGTTGTTTAGTGGTTGTCACTTTCTCCTTACATTGGAATCCATCGTTACCCAAAACACAGTCTGCACTGTTCGGGCAATTCAGGGGACATTGAAATGTTTCGCAAAAGGCTCCGTCCCATCCATAATCACAAACACAACTGAAGCTGGGCCCATCTTTGTCACAGTAACCATGGATGCACTCAAAGCCAAGAACACACTGCCGTTCTGATGACGGTCGAAGCGTCGTTGTAGTAGTAATATCATCTGTGACTAGTTCACATCTTTGACCAGAGAATGATGACGAACAGTAACATCCATGCTGACATGTTGTCGTGTTTAGATAACATGTTCCATGATTAGAGCAGAGATCGGGAACATCCTCACATGAGTTCGTACAATTGGTACCTTCAACAACTCCGTGCCTTAGCATAGCGAGTACAAATATAATATACGCACCCTGATTCATATTGCTCACGGTTTATTCAATTTTGCAGTTAAATTAATCATTTAGTTTTTCACTTTAATTAAACGTTTGTTCTGAATATATAATATATTTAATCAAGAGCATGAACATTATTTCAACAATACATGAACATATACATCAGTAGTGTTAAAATTATATTACGAAGAATGCTGTATTAAAATCACGAGATAGCTTTTTATGTCTCTCCGTTTACACTGAATTGTACACAATACACAACAGCTATATTCCGCGGGGTAACAGTCATCGCCACGCTCACTGGACACTTAATCCAAAGATCAAGTACATATTAACTGACACAGACATCAAAATATTTCCGATTGATGATTCAACCACAGCACTACAACGCTGATTTTATATATACTTATACAATTCACTTGACTTGCTACAAGTGTTTACTTTCCTTATTAATGTTAAACATCCAAGCCGGTGTTATCTGTTTTTGGACAAACACACTTTTGTTACCCAGTAGGAAGTAAGACGTAACTGTTACATCCCTCCAATTGTCGTAGAATGTCAGTGTTACATCTGTACTAGGACCAGTGGATAAAAACGTCCGTAGCATCCGCCTGTCAGCGAGTAAATACACGGACTACAGCAAGACGGCTCTCAGGTGAATTAAGATAAACATGTATCTGCATCAGAGCGTAACCCGATTGATTTAAACTAGAGCGATGCAAGGTTTTCAGTGAACTAAAAATATAAATAAACACCAAAGCGTTAATACACAGGGTTAAACTAGACCGTAACCTTTCCTAATGGAGTATACTGTACCGTACATGCTAACATAAGACATGCCGGGGGTATGTATATCAAGAGAAGGTATTATCATCACCCATTTACATCCAACTTTCCGGAATTAATGTCGTCGACGAACAAAGTTACGATTGAAAATATTGCTGCTTTCATATTTAAAGCGAATGAGACATGCAACAATGATTGATTTAATCAGTAGTAACGTCAGCCTCAATGTCGTGAAATCTCCATTTAAGTATGAAATGTCACTGTTCACACGAAACAAACAAGACACGACAAAGGCAAAACAAAACCGCTATAGCGTCGTCAATCACAAGAAATACCAAGCAATGAAGTGAAGCTTAGTACATCACATGATAATTTCTAGGATAGCTATTGATAACTACCCTTGTTCTATTTGGTATAGTAAGCATCCGCCCTTGACAACGGGAACTATACCTGGAGACGGGCACTATACCTTTTTGTTTGGACCGCTGACGAAGCAGGCGACATCATTTGACGTCGCAGTCCTTAAAGAGTTCCTAAAGGGGAACCGTATGTGACCTAGCGGTGATTCAATCCATTGGGAAAAAAAAGGAGAGGTCTACTCAAAAAAATAACTTATTGCCATTTGTTGTTTATTATTAAATATGTTACTTTTTATTGTCAAATGACAGTCATGTGATGTACTAAATCTATTATGACCCTTTCCCTGGGAACAGTTCACTTATAACGACTCGGGCACTATACCTCCCCCGACAACACTATAAGAGAACAGTTCCCTCGGGAAAGGGCCATAATAAAAAAAAATAGTTTATTGATGCCGACAGTCATCTGAAGTAAACATATACTGTACCATTTCGTCGATGGCATCCATTGTACCAATGTCAAAAGCACAATCCATGTTAAAAGAAGTCTGAAATATTTACAGAAATACGGCAAAATTTAAAGGTAATGATAATAATAGTTCCAGGTTCTTATATACTGCTTTATCACAACCTAGTTCGTAGGTCGTCTCAAAGCGGTTCACAAATTATTGTCCGTGGTTATAGGCAACCAGCCATTGTCTTTCTCAACTCGCTGGGGATTAACAGCCGGTGCTGCCATTTCGGCTCTCACAGCTAGAATTCAATAATTCCAGCACTGCCCAGCCACTGATTTACAGCTGAGTAGACTGCAAAAGCGGAGTACAGTATCTTGCTCAAAGATACAACACAGTACCGTGACGTGACTCGAACCCGCAACAGTTCGGTCACGAGCCCGGCGTACTACCAATAGACTACCGTGCCTCCAAAGAAAGTATACAACTATTTTATTACGTTACAAATTTACAAGAATTAATGAATCAAGAATATCCGTTCCAGGAATGTCGGATAAACAACCAGTACAGTAAGTCGCCTCTTTCGTTTCGAGGTCTATGATGTCTATCTTACTTATAACAATTGGTGTTTCAATAATATCTTATAAAACTTAATATTGATATTTATCTATTTTTGTATAAGGTTGTATATTTCTACTATCAATATATGTATGCACTATTTATATCTTACAGAGAGGGCTTTTATATGTTTCGCCTGTTGCCCAATTCCTTTTGTATGCAAGACCTTTACAATAAAATATTCGGAAATGAAATGACGTCTTTTCTATATTGTATTTTCTTTCGATTTGTTGTCTTACGGTTCTATTTTTGTCCCGGTATGTTGAGACTATAGTTTATTATTATGGGGGGTGTCATTTGTATTTTTGTTATATCAGTGTGAATGTATTTATTTATAATATATGTGTCATCTTTGTATCATATTTGTGCTTTACGTCCTATAAACAGATATGGTAATTCCATGTGCGTGCCAGTCTTTGGTGGTGGAGGAAAGCTGGAGTACCGGGAGAAAATCAAGCGACCCATTTATCGGTTAAGAAGTTAAGCTTACATGTTATAGTTGAATTGACAATCAATAACTATATTTATATTATGATTTTACAAAAAAAAAGAAGATATTGCTCATCCTCATCAATATGTCTGTATTGCTGTGTAACTCATTTTGTACACTAATGCACAGCAGATATGTATGCTAATTAGCCGAAAGCCTAAATGCCACTGCACAGAACTAAACGATGTCTGTTTTACCTGACCAAGTAAATCTAATAAGATTGAGTTATCATTGCACCGTAGTCTAGTGGTAGGACGCCAGGCTCGTGACTGAATGGTTGCAGGTTCGAGTCGCATCACGGCACTGTGTTGTATCTTTGAACAAAATACTTTACTCCGCTTGTTCCAGTCTACTCAGCTGTAAATGAATTCGTGGTTGGGCAGTGCTAGAATCGATGAATGCTAGCTGTGAGCGCCGACATGGCAGCACCGCAGGGAGTTGGTAAAGGTATTGGCTGGTTGCAAAGGCCCTATAACCGCGGATAATAATTTGTGAACCGCTTTGAGACGACCTACGAACTAGGTTGTGATAAAGCGGTATATAAGAACCTCGAACTATCATTATGGTTACGTATTTTCATTTCAAAATATCAAAAGAACTCAAGTATGTATTATTGTTTGTTTGTTTGTCTGTTGCAGTGATACTAAAAGGTACTTTTTGATATATAAATACTATGTAGCCTGTTTATCTGATGCAAAACGTTTACCTGTTTAATAAATATGTATGTGTATACTTACTCCCTGAGGCAGTAAAACACGAAAATGAATACAAAATGATATAGTATTTATTTTTAAATGGAATACAACATACACATCTTAAATCAATTAAGACTTATAAATAGGTCCACGATTACTATAACATATTTGATGCGCCAACGATATCAATATAATTTCAAATGAATCGTTTTATTCTTGTTGACACGGTTTTATGAGAATGCTACGATTCTTCTACAATGGGACAGAATGTGAACTCATAGCTATAACTACATCTCTCCTCATGACTTTCTATCTCCGCGGTTTGGTTTGGTTTTATATTGCTAACAGCTAATGCCATTTAAGGACGTGTCTCCATGTGTGTAGTGTTAGCATGCATACGTTTAATGTGTGCCGGAGACACGGTATGTTAATGTACTTGCCTTCTTATGATAGCGCGGATCTGATGCCGACTTTATAGTCCTATCTCACTGAAATACCATGCCGAAGAATGGGCCCAGCAAAGCATTCCGCCCGGTCACGTTATACTAACAACGAGTGAACCAGTTGTTGCCATTACCGTTAAGCAGGGAATGACGACTACCATGTTTAAGGAAGTTGGTATGCCCCGGCCTGGGGACAGAACCCATAGTGATGTCATCGGTAACCGCGTCATTGGAGGAGATCTGTGCTTCGGTACAAGGCATTTGAGCTGTCGTATTTTTGGTGGATGGTTAGGTTCGTGGAATTGTATGTTTGTAATTTATACAGAGACGCTGTGTACGCTGTTTGTCAACCCCTTTAAAACTGGATTAGCGGGCTTGTAGTTCCGAAGGTGAAGAGACTGTAGATATTTATATAGATTAATGTGGGATGAATATTTGTAGATTATTTATTAGTTTTGCTATGTAATTAGTATCAATGTACTTTTCCTTTGTTCTTGTTTTCCTGTTTTAATTTCCAGAACATTTAACCGAGTCTCGTCTTGCGTTACAGATATTACATTCTGTCTACCTGACATGAACCTCCCAGCTTTCATTGTAAATGTCTGGGTTTTGTGAGTTACAGTGTCGTATTATTACGTGTGTTTATCGCTTACAACACTAAATTATAATTCAGGTTACACATACGGTACTTCTTACAGTGTTGTAAGCGATAAACACACGTTATGGTTAGGGTTACCTTTAGTCACGATTTGGCCTTCAGGTTTGATAACTTCCGGGTATACCATGCAACCACTCGGAGCACCTCGGCTGATTCGGAATCACTTTAGTCGGTGCGAAGTGTTCCGAATGTCATGTACCTAACTGAATATTATCTATTTAAATTAAACATCGTTTGACTTTCACGGCTAATCACACGACAATAACTGTTGTTTAGTTCCTCCATGTTTCGAGTATGCCATGGTGGGTCTTTTCTACGGTGATGTGACGGATAAGATGAAAGCGAAGAAGAATTATCGGATTTCCAATTAAGTGACGTTGGTGGTCCGACCTTGGCCTGGATCCATGGTTGATTTTTAACACCATAAAGACAATGCATGTAGACACTGCACCAAGTTAATTATATAAAAAGTCGAATATGAGAAATTGGTATGCAAATTTAAAAAAACCTGAAATGAACAGCTAGTGTTAATTAAGATGACATTAAATTGAATTTTTAATGTAAATGCTGATCTTTTCAATTGTTTTTATTTGTTGACATACATGAATTTATGTTTACGTTGCATGTAAACCAACAAAATTAAGTTGAGTTCACAGCGCTAATGACGTCATGAAATTAGGATACAACGCTATTTTTAATCTTTGTCAATGTGGCTCTTGACAGTTCGCTTCACACAACACTTTGAATAACTCGTTCAAAAGACGAGGATTATTGGTGTGCTGTTTTGATTGACTCTACATATACAAAACACAGTAAATATTCAGATTTAACATCATCAACTAAATAATCGTTAGCTCTCCCTTAATTTCGCTTTTGGTAAAACCGTAGCTCAGTTAAACAAAGTCGTTGACCAGTTTGTCACAGCAACCGTATAACAATTTGAGGTCCAGGGTTCGAAACCTGGTCTAGTCCCCTATGATTTTTACATACAGAACACTGTTGTTGATTATATTTCGTTTATTTCACCTGTAAACTATTCTTCGTAAAAGGTATAGTTTTCTTTTCAGAAACGATTTATCAAAGCTATAATGAAGCCGGAAAACGACAGCAATGCTTACTTTCAGTTTTTAACAGTGGTAAGAGGGAGATGGGGATCTT